TTATCAAGTCTATGGAAATTATTATTATGGAAAGTTGTATCACACACACACACACACACACACACACACAAACAAAGTTCTTTAATAATTAATATTTCCCTCTTTGTTCCAAAATTTGTCCCAAAAAACAACAACAACAACAACAACAACAAAACTCTATGTTATGAAGATATGGATGAATATCAAAATGCATGTGAGGGTGTGTGGTGGCACCTTTGTCTTTCATGACTGAGAAAAAAAAAGAATAACAGCAAGAAAAAAAATTCCATGTTTATTCTGTTTGGGATACAAAACAATATTTATCATCATACACATTATTATTATTACTATTAAGTGTGATGATGGTGGTGGTAATATCGCTGTTTGGTTCACTCCCCCCCAAAAAAAAATTCCATCCTGTGGTCATCATCATCAACATTGTGGTCATGATGATGGTTATTTTACAAAAAATGAAAATGAAAAAAAATTAATCATTTAATAATGTATCCATCAATCGATTCGATAAATCGATCAAATAAATCAATCAATAACACAGTAGTATTACATACACACACACACACAATAAAAACAAAATAATAACAATGATCATATCGACTATAGTTCGATCGATCGATCGATTGATTATTTTGTTTTTCATCTCGTTCTTTCTCTCCATCATCATCATCATCATCATCATCATTGTTGTTTTGACAACATAAACAAAGACAAAACAAAACAATCAAACAAACAAACAAACAAACAAACAGAAATAAAAGTACAATGAAAAAGGTCACCATGAATTTCGCCACATCACCTGGATTTGATTGATTTAATGAGAAATGAGAAAAAAAATCATTGATTGATTTTTTTCTTTGATTGTTTGAATTTTGATCGATCAATCAATTGATTTGATTGACAAAACGAATAAAAAAAATATCGTACATTATATTGTAGGTCCATTTTTGTTTATTTACGTTTTTAATGAATATTTCGTTGTTGTCGTCGTCGTCGTCGTCGTTGTTGTTGTTGTTGTTGTTGTTATTTTCATGTCAATTTCATTATCATTTTCAATTAAAATTTTCTGATACTGCTTCAATCGAATCTTTTTTGTAATTGGATCAAATAATTTCAAAATTATCGCAATTTCATCGATAACAAAAAAAAATTTAATTTAAATTGACCTTAATTATTGATTCAAATTGCGATGAGAATGGCAGAAATTTTGTTCATTTTTTTCCAAGGAAAAAAATTTCATAAAATGTAATTAATCATATATGATTCAGAGAAAAAAAAACCCAAACCAAATATCAACAATAATCATGATTTTTTTTTGTGAACAACAACGAATGAATCATCATCATCATCAGGGTATTGTTTTTTTATAGAAAAAAAAATTCATTCATTCATTCATTCAGGTTGTCATCATTGTCATTATCATCATTACCTTTGTCCGGTTGCCATTGATTCATTCATCATCGTATGACTTATGACTATCACACACACACACACACACACACACACATTTTTACATAGTGTAATTATCATCATCAGGTGACAATTGAATTGAATGAATAGAAAAAAAAACGACAACCAGAAAAATACAAAATAAAAAGACAATAGATTTTTTTTTCACGTTGAAATGACAGCTTTTTAAAGTGGCCAGAAAAATAAACGTTTAAATAATAATAGTGGATAGTGGATTATCCATAAAATGGATGGGTTTAAAATGGATCATCATTTGATCAACCAACCAGACGCACACACACACACACACATCAGATGGATAATTCAAATTAATTATGGGGTTTTTTTGCATAATAATAATGATAATTATTATTATTCGTGCGTATAATTATTGAAAACAATGAAGAATTTTGAGTTTTTGACCAAAAAAAAAAACATTTTCAAATAAAGAATATTCATGGTGTCATGTAATAAATTATTATTTTTTCATTATCTCTCTCTCTCTCTCTCTCTCTCTCTCTCTCTCTCTCTCTCTCTCTCTCTCTCTCTCTCTCTCTCTCTCTCTCTCTCTCTCTCTCTCTCTCTCTCTCTCTCTCTCTCTCTCTCTGGAAAAAAACAATAGGAATCACACTTCTTTTCTGTGAAAATAACGAAAACTAAAAGAATAAAAAAGCAAAATGAGAAATATGTTTTTTTTTGGAAATAAATTTTCATGAATTTCGCTCACTCATCATCTGTACATACACACACAAACACACACCATTTACATAAAAATGTGACCAAAAAAAAACCAAGCAGGAGATATAGAGAAAAAAAATCTAACCCAAAAAACTTTGAATTCGAATTATTTTTTTTGTTGTTGTTGTTGTTGCTTGTGTTCGATCAACAATAACAACAACAACAACAACAACAACAAAAACAACGTGAACTAAATGAACAAATTCAATGATGATGATAGACAACAAAGATGATATCGGAATAAATCGAAATTAAAATTCAAATCACGAACAAAAATGAAAAGAAAAATGAATCGAAATGAACCGAAATAAATACACCATCACCATCACAAACCGCTGTAAGTCGATCGATTGCCAGAATCAAAACAAAAAATCACTGAACATTTACGTTTCATTTTTCAGTTTGATATTTGAAGTTGTTTTTTTATTGGTTCAAATATGAATTGAACTGAATGAAAAATGAATGAATGAATGAATTGTTTTATGTATGAAATGTAAAAAAAAATGAATTGAAATGAATAAATAATGATTATGATTATTGGACAGAAAAAATTATATTTGAAACTAGATGAGATGAAATTTCAATATTGAGAAATAAAAATTATCATCATCATTACGAATAGTTGATAATAGGAGTGAATTACTTCCGGATTTTTTTTTCCATTCCCGTTGCCGGGAAATTTTTCCACACACACACACACACACACACACACACACACACACACAGACAGACTGATAATGAATATGTGATAATTTTATTGTTGAAATGAAAAATATAAATAAAAAAAAATTCCCATCATTAATGTCATCAAGATTATTGAAAATTTTTTTTTTTTGTTTGTTATTAATATTATATCGAGCATCATACATCCACCACCACCACCAATAACATTGTCAAAATTTCTAATAGTAGGTGGGGCTGGAATAGTCATTCATTTCCGTTTTGGAAAAAAAATCCATGGACAAGGTTGAGTTAATCATTAAATTCAAATGGTGTGTGTAGGTGTGGTTTACGTGATTATTTCATCAGAAAAAAAACCGGAATTTTGTTTTCTTACTCGACAACACCTAGAAATAAGGGAAAAAAATTGGCAAACCACACACTTACATTTCCTGTGTGTGTGTGTATGTGTGTCTGATATCATACATTTTCCGTCGGTGATTTTTTATAAATCCAGTTTTAATTCAGAAAAGAAATCTGATTAACCGTGATTAGAATCGAATCATTGGCTGTGGTTAATTGAATGAATAAAAATATGATTTTTTCGAGTGAAATTTTTGTTTTGTTTTATTTTGTCTCGATCATTCTCTCGATCGATTAACATCATTATTCTTGTGTTATTGTTTGGAAATTTCTTTTTCATTTTTCGCTTGTGTGTGTTTTGTTTACAATAAAGAGAAAAAATCCAGAAAAAAATTCCAAAACAAATAATAATTGTTCAACCATACATCGTACACCCTAGAAACTTATCTCATCATTAAATGAGAAAAAAAACCAACGTGATGAACAATGTTTACTGATGTTATGAAAAAAAGAAAATATCCGCCATAACTTGATCTTCGTTATCATACACATCGTTGTTGTTGTTGTTGTTCCAATTGGATTCTTTTCTTCTACATTCATTCTCATATGTAGTGTTTGTTTTATCGTACTACTCTATATTATGTAACAGCGAAATAAAACCTAACAACCAACTAGCCAACCAAACGGTATACCTGGTTGCCATCACACACACACACCGGTGTTCTATTATGTGTGTATATGAGCAGACGACGAAAAACAATAACCAAACAACCAACCACACACACACAAACACACAACCTATGGTACCTTTATATCCTGTGTGTGAACTTACCAAAAAAAAAGAAAAAATCAAATGAATGAATGAATTGAATTGAATATAAAACGAAGAAGAAGAAGAAGAAAAAGAAATCATCATCATTGAATGAATGGTTGATGTGTATTTGGTGATGGTGGTGGTGGTGGTGGTAGAAGTGGTTTATTATAAATGTGGTTTTTTCTTCTTCTTCTCCTTCTCCTGTTACTTTTTTTCCATCCACCTTTTTTTCCATTCAACAACCAATATTATAAAATACCGTTTTTCCATGTGTATCACCATTTAGTTTTATTTTAGTTTGTTTCATTCATTCATTCATTCATTTGTATGTTCTCTCTATGTCTATCACAAACACACACACATACGTTTAAAGGTTTTTTTCGTCGTTCTTTCTCTCGTCGTCGTTGTTGTATTTGTATATATATTTGTTGGCGGCTTTAATAAAAAAAAAATGAAAATAATGATGATAAAACCAATGTACATTGTATATCATAATAGTCATTTCTAGTTTTGCAACGATTGAGGTACCTGTTATTGATCATCATCATCATCATCATCATCGTTTTTATTTCATTATACATTTGAAACAACAAGTCATTGTGTTTTGTGTGTGTGATATCCGTCCTGTCATTTATGAATTTATCCGTTGCGGATATTTTGTATTCATCTCATTCTTTCTTTCGGTTTTAAAATTTGTGTGTTTTTTTTTTTTGCAATTTCATCCACCAAACTATGATTCTTGACATATTTTTTTTTTTTTGTGTATACATGGTGATTATATACCACTTTTTTTTGTCGTTTGTTTGATTGAAGAAAACAAAAAACTCGATCATAGTCACGATTATTATTTCTATATTACCGGTTTATTTTTATTTTTTTTTCAAAAAAAAAAAAGATATGATATTTGTGTGTGTGTTTGTGTCTGTGTCTGTTTTGATGTAAATTTTAAATTGATTCAATTAAATGATGAATTTGATTTGATGGATTAGCATTCATCATCATATTCAGCAATTTGAATTGTGCGTTGGCGTTTCATTTTTATTTTTGTTTTTCAGGAGAAAAATGGTAAAAATTTTGCTATTTTTTTTTGCTTTAAAAATAAAATCCATTTTCGAATTTCCAAATTCCACTTCATCATTGTCATCATCATACAAAGCATTGTTCATACACAACAATGCTTGGTTGTTTGACTGTATTTCCGGTATACAGATCTGATTGTTTTCAACAACAAGCCAAAAAAAAACATCTATTTTTTTGTTGGTTGATTGATTGATTGATTGATTATAACGGATATATTTGATTATCATCATTTATGTGAAACGAAAAATGTTTGATTGATATTCATTTGTTTGTTTGTTTGTTTGTTTGCGCAAAAAAACAAAGTAGAAATTGAAAACTACAACAACGACAACAACAACAACAAATAATCGGAAATGGAATTTTTTTCCCCATCATTTGTTTTGTTATTACACCAGTCCCTTTTTTGAAGAATAATAAAGAAAAAAAATTTCAAATCAACAAAACAAATTTTGCACTTTTTGTGCATTGTTGTTCGAAAAGACATTTTCTTTCCATTTTTTTTATGTCATGCATATTATACCTGTGTTTGTCTGTGTGTGTGTGTGTGTGTGTGTGTGTGTCATTGAATTTGTTCTGGTAGTGGTCATATCACATCATTCTCATCAATGAGATTTTCAATTTCATTGCCATCATGGTGGCATTATTTGTTTTCTGCAGTTTTTGTTTTGTTCTCAGTTCAATTCTGATTTAATTCGATTCGCCAACAATTGGCAAACACAAACAAACAAACAAACAAACACACAGTGAATGATGATGATGTGATTTCAATTTCGAGAATATAAAAACCATGGAAAAAAAAGAACGAAAACTTTATAAGATTACCTGCCTACAATAGATTTAATCTTATCATCACTGATAAATTGTTTGTTTGTGTGTGTGTGTGTGTGTGTGTGTGTGTGAAAGTGATATACAAACACCAAGAGAGAGAGAGAGAGAGAGAGAGAGAAAAAAGAAAGTGAAAGGAAACCTGATCAAATCATCATCAAAAAAAATTTTCTAGATTTAGGATTTAGTTATTTTTTTCTGTGTGTTCTGTTTACTGTTTTGTTTATTTGTTTATTTACATATCTCACGAGTGATTTTTATATTGATTGGCAACCTGGAATCTATGCAAAAGTTTGTATTGCTGTTGTTGTTGTTGTTTTTGTTTTCTGTCTGGTGCTGGACCAAAAAATGAGAATTTTTCCAATGTTTCTCAACCATTCATCATCGTTGTCTTTTTTTCCTGTTAAATTTAAATTTTAAAAAAGTCTAACGATTGATTCAGTTTTTTCCCTCTTTGTTTGCTCATTTTTTCTCGATTCTTTCGATACACGCACACGCTGCATATGAATAAATGCAATCAGACAATAAACACTAAACAAACAAACAAAACAAGAAAAAATAACGAACCAATGAAAATGAATCCTGGTTACGTACCTGGTGTTTTCAAACATTGCTATGTGTGTATGTGTGTGTGTGTGTTTCTCATCTTCGGAACCTCTTCTGGTTTCCGAAACAATCGAAATGTAGATTCTTTTCTTGGTTTCTGAGTTGGATTCTCTATCTCACTCTCTCTTTCTCTTTACAATTATCGTCATCACCGGTTTATTTCTGGTTCACAAAATGTGTTTACCTGAAAACACACACACACACACACACCATAGACCAAAGAAAACGACAAATGAACAAACGAAAGAAAGAAAGAAAGCAAACAAACAAAATACCATTCACATGCACCAATTTAAGATAGAAACGATCCAACAACAACAACAAAAAAAGAAAGAAAGAAAGAAAGCAAAAAAAAATATATCACAATGACAACGACCATTGTCGTTTCTGTTTTTGTTTTTGTCGTCGTAGTTGTAATCCAAACAAGAACTTCAATTGATGATGATGATGATGATGACAATGATAATGGTTGGTTCGTTTAGTTTTTAGTCGTACTATTTATATTTGGTTTCGATATCTTTATACAGAGTTTGTGTCGAGATTTTTATATCAATCAATCAATCAATCAATCAATGAAAAAAAAAATTCAACAATTTCATTTTTTATCTCTTTTTTTTATTCTGTTATTTTTTTCATATGATAGGATTTTCGAAATAATTCATGATCAACCGCCACCAATGACAAATGAATAATCCTTGAAATCAACAACGAAACAAAAATCAAAAAACAACATCAACAACAAAATTGGAAAGCGAATGGCAATCAATTATTTAAATTCAAATCAAACGATGAACAAACATTATAAATAAACAAACATTGAATCGAGTTTGTCTCATTTGATCTCATCAATTCGCCATTCATTTTGTTTGATTTGCATCCAACAATTATATATAACATTAATTACCAAAAAACAAAATCAAAAACGAAACTCATTCTCAAATCGAATACCGGATGAAAAAAAATTCAGGCCATCGTCGAATGTCATTATCGAATTTTTTTTTTCGTTTTCAATTTTTCTTCTATTGTGTTTTAAATGAACTAACCTTTAGTAGTACTTTACTCTCTGTGTCTGTTTGTCTGGTAGTGTACAAATACCAAGATTGTGCTCTTTCATTGCCCTTCAAAAAAAAACCAAACAAAATTTGACCTTTTTTTTGATCCTCAATAGCAACCAAGGACCTAGGAACCTTGTTTTGAGTTCTATTTATGTGTGTGTGTGTGTGTGTGTGAAAGTTTAATTGTATATAAACAGAGGCCGGAAATTTGAATCGCAGTTTGTCTGTGTGTGTGTGTATCTTTTGACATCAGCAAGTTTAAAAAAAATCTATTGTGTTTATTTATGAACAGACGACGACCTTGTTTTTTTTTTACCTTTATTAATTGTGTGCGAGTGTATGAACGGAAGTTTTTAAAAATCAAAAATAAAAAAAAACTTTTAACAAATAACACACCCATAATATATAAGCCGGTTGGTTGGTTTTAATATTTGTTTAAATTGTGACGATAACATGTGATGATTAACAGGAAGTGACAATCCTCTTCAATTTAATATATCTATTTGTGTGTGTTTTTTTTTTGGATTTGGATTCATTTTATTTTTATTTTTAAACGGAAAACAACTTGTTGTGTGTGTGAATATAACACAGAGATAAATATATTTTCCATTAAAATCATCACAATAATTATTATTGGAAAAAAAATTCCAAAAAGAATTTCATTTCATCCAAATGGAATTAGTACATGCGGCAAATGTTGCCGCCGCTAATAACAACAACACAACAAACGTAAACAACACTAATATCGTTGTTGAAAATAATATTTCAACCAACAACAACAACAACAACAGCAACAATAACGGTAATAATAATAATAATAATAACGGAAACAGTTCAAATAATTCAATAACCCATCTTAATCAATCAATGGAATCGGTTAATAATCTATCGGATGAAGAGGTAGGTTTTTGTTTTTTTTTGCACATTTGAAAATTTATTTTACACAAAAAATACCTTGAATAAAACACAGCAGCAGCAGCATCTTTTTTTATTTCATCAGAATTAATTTAGTAAATTGATCTATTATATGAGGAGAATGATGATTCTACTATAGATGAATCTCTGGTTCTTTTCAATTCACATTCATCTTGCTGTATCGGATTCATCTGCTGCTGCTGCTGATGATGATGATCAACAAAATGAATCAAATTCAAGTCAGAAAAATCAGAAAACAAAAATTCAAACGATCCATTCATACTGTCATTGACACAAAGAGTAGTTTTTTTTATTTGTACGAAAAGAAAAGAGTTTAAATTTGTCATCAAGAATATTGAACAACGAGAATATTCCAGTGTGTGTGTGTTTTTTTGTTTCGTTTTGATAAAATTCCTTTTCCCCTGATTGAAAAAAAGCTATGTGATTTAATTAATTAACTACCACATACACTGTGCTGGTTGTTGGGTTCAGTTTTCCTTTTTTTTATTCTCATTTCTCTTACAGTGTGATGGTATTTTGTTTTTTTTTTTTTTTTTTTTGAGACTAAAATAAGGTTTTGCATTCATTTTCGTTGTATTGGTTGGTTTCTTTCTACTTGAAACACACACACACACATGGGAAAAGGGAATATAGACGAAAAAAAACTTTCACACGGAATGTGAAATGTCTCCAAAGTGATGTACGCATAGAACCGTCGGATTCTTCGTTTATAATAATAAATCTCATGTTGGATGATGAAAAGAAAAGAAACTTACTGGTACACACACTCACAAAGTCTAGATACGAAATTGAAACAAAACAAACAAAAAACATTATTAACATTCAAATTCGATTTGATTCAATCAAGGTGATTTTGTGTATCATCTTCAATTCTATTCTATTACATACTTTTTTAATCAAATTTGTCATTGACACATAGATCTTTATTTTATAGATGTGGATAGACTGCCCATCATGTTGACTATTGTTGTTTTTGAATATTTTAAAAAAAAAAAAATTTGAAATTAATTTAAATCATCGTAGCGGTAAATATTCCGGAAATCAGAAATACCGGTGAATTTTATTTTCTGTTTCTCTCCATTTATGTTTGAATGACAAAAAAAAGAAATAAAAACAAAAAGTGAAAAAGTTGCCAAAAATTTTTTTCTTTATTGAAATTCAATTTCAACAAAAAAAAGTAAGAAAACTTGATCCATTTTTTCTTCTCACCATCTTTTTCTCTTCTCACATTTCAATGAATCAAAAAACTTTCGGTATTTTTTTCGTTCACATTTCTGTCCACTCAGCTATCCTGCCAGAATGTATTTGAAATTCTTGATCAGAAAAAAATAAACAAGAATCGATAAAAAAAAATTTCAATGATGAATAGAATTTAGATTCAGATTTTTTCCACCTACCACAATATTATTCAAGACAATTGAAAATTGTGACCTGAACCATAAGCAAAAATGTGGCCAAAACAAATGGCTATAAGAAATAGGAAAAACTTTTTTTTTTGCTATTCTCACTTGATGATTTACATCTTATTATTATCCAGAAGGTGAGAGAAAAAAGAGAGAAAAATGGACAATATGTGGACCACACCATTGTCTGTTTTTTTTTGTTTGTGTTTGTGATGACAGCTTTTGCCGATCATTATTATTATTATGATTATTTTTCTTCCAATTTTTTTTCGGTCACATAAGGCCCATAATTCATTCGGTTTTTTTTTGTGGATCTATTCTTCTTTGAAAATCCAGTAGGTTTGTGAACAACGGGCAGGCAATTGTTTTGTTTCGTTGGTTGTGCGGTCTATACGACGACGACGACGACAACGACGACCACTGAAGAAGAATTGTCATTTTGGTCAAGCAATTTCATTATTTTATTATATATGATTATTGTGATCTATAGTGTTTCACATTCTTATGATTAGGTTATTGTTTAGAAATAAATTCTGGTTTGTTTGTTTTTTTTTGTTGTCTAGATGTTTTAGTTTATTATTCAATTCAGATTCAAGAAAATTGATCAAAAGAGAAAGAACAATAACAAAAAAAAATGTTATTTCTGTAAATATTTCCATGATTTCATACGAAAATAAAAGAAAGAGAGAAAAAAACAAATCTAGAATAAGTGATGAAAATAGAATATAAAATAATGATGATCCTTACAATCAGGTTGGTTGCTACAATTTTCATCCCTAATTCTAATAATAAAACATTTCGGAATAATTCTGTTTTCATTCTTGTTATTCACATTTACATACATACATGATTAGAAGTAGATTTTATTCTTATCATCACAATTGATGATTATCGTTATATTGATATAAATGAAACATTGTTAAAATTGTTGTTGTTGTTGTTGTTATTTTTTTATTCTTGTTTATTGAAATTCCATTAAGGTAAACACGTACATACATGCATACAAACAAACATGAACATCTAGATTTTGAGACAACATGTTTTTTTTCCATATACATCTAAATGAACAATGATGATTTGAATAAAATGGAATGAATGAATGCAACATTGAAACAACAAGAAACATTTGAAAATAAAACGAAAGGATTCTACGATTTATCGTGTTTTACCGTTTGTAATCGAAACGTTGTGTTCCATTCTCCAGTTTTTTGGATTCTGAAATTTTATTTTTTTCTGTAACATTTTTCTCAACATTCATCCAACAATTCTTGAACATGTTCTCTGTTTTCATTATTTCTGTTTTGTAATGTTGTTTTTTTTTCGTTGTTGTTGTACTATCTAGTTGTGAAAACAAGATTTTTTTTTACAATTTGTAATTTATCGAATTTATTGAACTATATGTAGAAAGAAAAGATGATTCAAACAAAGATTCTAGATTCTTGAAAACATTATTATCACCATTTTTTTTGTTAAGATGTACTTTCTTTAGTTTAATTTTATGGAATTCTAATATTGGAATCCATCATCATCATCATCATATCGCTACTACTTTGCTACAAACACACTGATTCTTGGTTTTATAATTAGAATCTGCTTATTATTATCACTTCATTATTGTCATTAATTTGTTAACTTATCATCTAATTCATCCATTCATTCATTTATTCATCGTCACTGCATTTTTTTTTTTTTTTTTCACTGATTAACTGGTTATAATTATCATAAAAAAAAGAAAAAGAAAAAAAAACCATTCAGTTTATCTTTTTCTGTCTGCTGTAACAAAAAAAGTAATTTTTTTCGGTTTCTTTCTTTTTGGCGACTAAAATGAATGATAAACGAAAAAAGAAAAAAAACCATTAAACCACGGGAACATTGGTAATATCGATCATAACGATGATGATGATGATAATAATGCCATCCCATCATCATCATTGTATCCGGATTTTTTATAATTTTTATTCTCTTTTTTCTACACTATAATCTTTTTTTTCATTCATTTACCATATGCACAATTTTTTCATTCATTCATTCTCTTCATTTTTGCATAATACTTCAATTAATTAATTAATTAATTAATTCACCATTCACACATTTTGTAACGTAAAAGTAAGACACATACAAACACACTCGCACACACACACACAGACTTTGAATCAAGTCGATGGATTTTATTTTCACTTTGTTTCACACAGAAATAAAGAATCTTTCTATTTTCATTTTCATTGGATTAAAACAATGTGTATGGAGGGATAATAAGAAAGAAAAAAAGAACTAGAAGTGAGAAAAAACTATTCGTGTGATTGTGTGTGTGTGTGTGATTTGAATGGATAATTCAACCAACAAACAACAACAACAACAATGAAACAAAAATCAAAACTGACCATAGAGAAAAGTATTGAACTTTGATTTATTTTTTTTCCACAGATCATTGTATTTTGATTTCACAACATTTATTTTTTCATCAAGAATTTCACTCATTGATTCTTGATTTCAATGAAAGAGAAAAAAACCGACCAACTAACTAACCAGTCAACCATGGCTATTCATTTTCGATTGAAAATGTGAAAAAAACCGCCGCCAGTCATGAATTATTGGAATTTTTTTTTCTCTTTGATTCTGTCTGGATTCTTTGAATTCATACAGTGCAAATTTGATTGCAGAAGATGAAGAAAATTGAATCGTTGAACATTTTTATCATTTCTTTTTGGGAATTTTTTTTTCTTTATTTCGTAATTTATTTCTAATTGTATAGTTTTTCATTGTCCGAATCTTGGAATTTTATTACTTTTTCCATTCAAGTTAATTAGAATTAAGATGATGATGATCTCAATTCTTGTTGTTATTGTTATTCAAGTTCTATCTTTATTCAATTGTGAACAATTGAAACAAACACACACACACACACACATTGAACACAAAGAATTCAATCATTGCACTATCCAATATCATGATATGAGAATAATAAAGAATTCAATTCAAAGTAAAGTGAAAAAATATTGATTGAATGACCAAATGACATATGGTTGGATTTGATCATCATAAATGATCATTATGAATGAACTTTTCTTACATTATTTATGAATTTGACAAAGTTTTTTTTTTTTTTTTGGCCATTTTATTATATTCCAAAGATTTGAAATAAGAAATACACACGCACACAGACACAATAAAAATGTCATGTTTTGATTCGATAATTATTTTGGTCAATTCTGAATTTTTTTTTCATTTCAAACAAAACAAATGGTGTGAAAAAGAAAAAGTCAAATTTTGATCTGATTTGATCGATTTGTGACAATCTGAATTTTAATATTTCAATTTGATTATTATTATAATCAAAAAAAAAAAAAAAAAAAAAATGGACATGGAACAGAAAAAAAATTCGATAAAGGCGGCTACACATTGTATACAAGTTGTTTATGGTTGTCATTCATATATGTGGTTTCCAAACCATTTCGGTTTTTCGATTATTCGATTTCATGGTTTATTTCATTTCATTTCATTTGTTGTTGTTGTTGTCGGGTCATGTCACCCACACACACACACACACACGCACACTGACAC